AAGGATGACGCTTTTTACTGATGATGCAAGCGAAATGTCTAGGAATGTACAAAGTCAATGGACCGATGCTCGAAATTATGAAAAACTATGACAGATCGACGGTCTCCCATAAGCTTCGATTAAGTTGCGAAAACGAAGTCAACGCAACAGTGACCTTTTCATCATTGATCACACTCTTGTCTTTATAAGTTGGCTTCTATGACTAATTTAATGGTATTTGCATTTAAGTCAATCTATTTATCACGTTTAAATAAATATTTTTTTTATTTTTTTACTATTTTTTCATATTTTGCCTTTTTTCATATCCAAAAGTGCTAGCTGCCTGTGGTAAGGACCATAGTATTAAGATTATTGGGCCTAATCCAATCTTTATACAAGAGGATGATCCGGATGGCATTTTGACATATGGAGAGGAAGATTCTGAAGATCCACTAGGATCCAGTGACAGACGTGGGAAACATTTATCACAAAATCTACTTTTAAAGCCCACGGAAACAGTTGTGGATGATAACGATGACGAAGATACACTGGCATGCCCGACTGGCTGCCATCTGCCTCGGCCTCCTGGAGACGTTGTAGACGCGGCTGCAATGCGTCGCCGCGCAGCACCCATCTTGATGGATTGCTCTTCATCCGCTGGTGGCTATGAAAGTTATGTCAACGCACGCACTTTCAGAGCCGCTCAGGTAAGCCCTATACAGTTTTAGTTTCGTTATATTTTGTCATCCATTTCGTATAATATTGTCAATGCAGGTCATTACCTTTATTTAAATGCTCAGTTACCTTCTTAAACACCAACATACTTTATTTTTAAGGAAAGTTTGATTATTTATATTTTATTTTAATTAACTTGTCCCGCTTTTTATTTGCGCTCGATACAGCTTTACTTGAGCTTGACGCATCAGTAGTCCTATTCCTCAATATTAGATCTCCTCAGCTGCTTTTATCTTTTTTCACTCTGCATACATTTATGCTTTTTTGTCCTGTTTAATATCCATGGCTTTTTAAGCCTCCCTTATTGCTTTCGGGCTTCATAGGACTCTCGGGGGATCTACCCGATGCCATCACTTTATAGCTAATTAACATACGAATATTGCATAGTCTTATCCACCCTAAGAACTCTTGACAAACTGCTAAAGATTCTTAGTCCTGTAAATTTGCAAAATATACCCATAACTAGTTTCCCTCGCTCCTGTCATTGGGATGTCAGGATCACTTCACAACCTTTTTTTAATGCCTTTATTATTTCTGTGATGCGATTTAAGAAGAAAATTTATTACTGTATAAAATCATTCAGATTCTCTTCATTTTATCGGATTATGTGCCAGACCATTTTAATTAATTTCTTCTTAGCCATGTACTTCTTGATGATTATCCTGATTTAAAAACATTTTTTCAGCAGTCCTCTATCTTGAGTAGCTTAATGATAAACAACTTCCATAATTTTGAGAAGTTGATTTTGACATTATTATCAATTACAGCCACTAGTTAGTTTCTCAGTGGTAAGGTTTTTATATTTGTCAAAATGAATACTTTTGTTCAAATGTCTACTATAGCACTGCGACAATATCGAGGGCCGCACCATCTTATTCTTCATACCTTTGATAGCATAATCAATTAAATTCCTTTCCTGTCTTCCAACTGTTTATTTCATGTTATATTTGTTCTTTCCTTCCTTATTTACATCTCCAATATTTGACTCGGCTTGATCTATTCATAGTTATTAGTATACATTGGATTTGAGAATTTCCCTATGCTAGATTTCGTGGCAATTTTAAAGAAAAGATTAGCTATTTAAATATGCTATTAGATTTTTTTAATTTTATCCGCAACTTAAAATTTCATAGCCTCGTATATTCCTCATTACTTTTTAAAATATTTTGATCTGCATTTTTTTTCCCAGCAAGGTATGATAAACGAAGAATTCGTTAACCTTCAGCGCCGACTGGGTACTGAGTTAATGCAGATGTTCTCTACGATGCGTCTTAATAGAGGTACATATTGCTCATTCTTGTGAAAACACCTAAAGAGCCAAGACGAGCAAGCTTAAGCTAAATTACTCTGTATTTTAAAACTTTTTCTCCTCAGTGCTCTGTCTTACTCATAGTATGAGCAACTTTTAAATCATGTGAAATTTAGATTTGATACGGATAGAAGAATGCAATTGCGGAATGTAGATTTGTTCCTAAGTGAAACTTTATTTTGAATAGAATGTTTATAAGGAGAGCATTTTTACCTATATCAAGTAGTTGGGGCTATCTGCGCAACCTTAGGCTCTCAAATCTGCCTGGATCCGATTGACCAATCATAAACTAATGGCAGATGAAAATGTTTATTATAAAAATTCAAATAATAATTAATATACTTTTTGGATAGACGCTATGGTCTTTTTGATATTAGGCTCTATCGTTTGCCTACGAAGAAATCTACTTTCTATTTTTTGATGACAGTCAAAAGGATATCGTAATGTATAGCCATGCAAATTAACTATCATTAACTAGGTAAGAAAGTGATAGTAACTGATGTAATATCCTGCCAGTTCTTCGTTAATTGTGATGCATTTATCTGACCTTAGCTATTATGCTTTATATGGGATGTATCATCCCAGTTCGTTTAAACTAATGAGGGACTGCTAGTTGAATTTTCCCATAATGACATATAATATATCTTACAGTTCCATTGAATTTCATATATACTTGCTTGAAAAAAGGTATTCTTATCCAGGGTGAAGTGCAGTTTTGACCTCGCCTAGGTCTTATCAACACTCTCGACGAGACTCAAACCATGACATAGTTGAGTTTAATCTCGACACCTTAACCACCACGCCACATTGCCAAGAGTGCCCTTGGATCACAGGGCCTAACTGCACAAACGGCTTTTTTATTTTTTGTTTATGTTGATTTAGTATATTTTGCACAAATCCAAATATTTCCACCTAATATTAAATTATGCTTCAGGCATACATCTAGCTATATATTCTTACTGTTTTTCTACTGTTCTATCACTATGATCCTTGTTTTTTTCTAACCTTTCCTAAATACTTTGAAGATTTTGTTAAAGAGATGAAATGCAAATTTTATATATAAGAATTGCTGCTATCCATGTTCTCACGTCGCTATACCTATCCACTTTGCTTTTAGCCATCGGATTTCTCGCTGATATTCAACCATTTTACAATTAATTAATTCAGAAAATCGGTTAAAACAGTGAAATTTTGGCCACATAAGGTATAGCTTAGATTATAAATACGAATTGCATGTAGTACAAACTAAGGAGATGGCAGAGTAATAAGCTTAAGGACATGAGTCTGTGTTTTTATGCATTATTTGCATGTAGTATGTTTAAT